ACTGTTCTCATTAAATTCATCATTCATTATCATCAATTTCTTCATTTATTATAGTTTAAATATTTTAATTTTTCATTTGAATATAATTATTATTATTAAATATTTTATTTATTATCATTAAAATTCTTCATTATGATTCAAATATTATAAATTTGAATTAATTCTTAAATGTTACGAATTTGATAATGAGATAACATCTATATAAATGAGGGTTTAGGTTCGTAAGCTTTATCTCTTTATCAAGTTAAAGATTTTTTACATCATTTAAAGTGAGAGTTCTGAGTTCGAAAAGTACCAAAATACTAAAAGAAATTATTATTGAAATTTTTTAGAATAATTTTCTTATTAATTTTTGTTTAGAAATATATTGTGATCTTAAATTTTCTTACAACAAGAAGAAAAAATTAATGATGAAATCGAAAAGTATCATCCTCACAGCCGTCATCGATGTGATTATGACTAGTTTCGCCATCAGCCGAAGCGGCGGAGTTGAGCCGGAGACGGGTATGCGGACGGCGGAGAGGAGGATGACCAAGACGCGGGCGATGGCAATCGGAGTTTCAAATCCGCTCGAACAAGTCGCGGGAACCCAAAGCTTTGAGATTCGGCTCGAATTGTCTACAAGATCTGCCTCAGGAGATACATGGAGGGTCGGAACACACCCCTCGACCGCCGGAACGAGCAGAAGACTGATCCGTTCGTTGCCGCCTCCGTCCTCAACTTATTAATCGCCACGTGGCTAAGAGGATCACACGGAGTCTGCTGCATTCGCCTCCGTCCTCAACTTATTTATCGCCACGTGGCATCTAAAAGTTTTCTACCACCAAACCTGCGGGACCCACTTCGCATTACCAATAGGTGCTGCCGTTATGATATCATAAGTTTTCTTACACTTATTTTGAGCGAAAGATGTCGGCATAGAAAGGAAAGCTTTGTATTTATTTATTTTTGATTTTTTTTTTTTCAAAACATGTTGGAACAAAAATATATAGTTCTGCTTTTGGGGGTTTGGTGTTCAATTTCCTCCGTCCGATACTGATTCGTCGGCGGTGATTGGTTTTTGAATTTCTATTCTATTCAGACTTACCCATTCCAACATATTTTGAAAAATATTCAAAAAAATAAATACAAAGCTTTTCTTTCTATGCCGACATCTTTCACTCAAATTAAGCGTTAGAAAACTTATAATATCATTATGGAAAGCACTTATTTGTAATACGAACTGGGGCCCGTAGGCACGTGAGAGGGTAAGGACTGGGTGGACAAGGCGCCAGTAGAGTTGCCATTTCCAGACACCGTCGCGGTGGTCCACAATTCAAATTCCTAAAAGAAGATAACCGCCTACGCCAATCTCTATTACCACGTAGCTGGAAATAACGACCGCGGTGGTGTCGTCACTTCCCTTGAACCTAACCGCCGATCTAATATAAAATACCACCAATATCGATTCTCGAATCGACTATGTGACTAGCATTGTCTGAGGCGAAGGTAACCCAATGCTGAATCCCTCCTCTCGCTCCGTTCAACTCTTTCTACCGGTTAATGAAGAAACAGAAAGAAAGAGGGAGAGAGAGAGAGAGAGAGGCGATGGAGAGGAGCACTCCGACGAGAAAGCCGAGCAGCTCGATGGAGGGTCTGCTGAAGTGGATGGAGGGGCCGCCCCCGGATCCTGAGGCGCTGCCTTCCCGCCGATTGCACCAGGTATGTCTCGCCTCCCATGGGGAATGCGGTGTTTGCTTTGCGGTCGCCGACAGCGACCCTAAAGAGGTGACGCTGTTCTCATAGAGGATTGATTCCTAGAGTTTTGAGTCTTTCTTGCTGAAAGGATTCTTGTAGAATTAAAAGGCTTATTGCCTTTTGAAAGTAATTTTAAGGTCAAACTATTACATATCTTAAATGTATTCACAAAAGTGCAGATTTTGGGATATCATTGTAGCAATTATGTGTAATGAATGATATCTGAACTAAAAATTTTACCTCAGATTGACCAGTTGAATCCGAGTCAAAATTGATCGGAGTTAACGGACATAAAATTGAACACCACTTTAACCCAGTGGCTTAAGATATATCTAATATATCTCATCCGACACTATCAGATTTTACATTTATACTACCATGACTAAGTATATATGATTATGGAGAAACAATTATATCTTAATAATTACTTGTGTCAGTTCCCCAATCTGAAGAAGAGATCGCAAAACAATTGCTATTTCTTTTATTATCCCCTCTTTGCTTAATGCAATCATTTTTTTTCTTGGGACGGGTACATGCAAAAATAATTGTGGGACTAATGATGTGCTTGTTCCTCTGAACAAACAAACAATAATTGAAATTAGCCAGATCTTGTTCAGTGTTGATGAAACTGTTTTTCACTAAACAGCCAGCCTCACTTGCTGAGGCAGCTAAGCAGCAAGAACTAAGTGGGTCCTTGCAGAGAACAAATTGAAGAAGAAGTCATTTGATGATTCAATGAACTAATTGGGTGACATCTTAGCTCCTCTCTTCCGAGGCTGTCAGACGCATGGAATTTGGAAATGAATGACAAAGCCCTCAGAAGAACCACTCCAAGTGAGTTTAAATTTGTTCACTTCTTCTCTATGCTACTCCACAGACAAGATGATGTATATAAATCTAGCTTGTTATCTGCAAGCCCTATGGCTGGTTTTTAATATCTAATTCGGCAATGATTTGGTAAAATTCAGACTTACAAGACTATATGAATGAAGTTCCTTTTAAATCCATCTACTTCCAAAAGTGTCTTTGGGTGCATCAATTATTTATTTGTTGATTTATGGTTATAAGACTTGCATAGGAAGTGAGTTCCAAGATGGTTAGTGTATGTAAGATCAGGAACTAGATAGCATTGGTGGTTGTTCCTATGTGCATCAATGTCTTTCACATGTTCATATTTAGTTTCTAGATCTGTGTTTTTTTTCATGGAAACTATTGCTTCAAGATAATAATAACTTATCCTGTCATTTCATTTGTTTCTCTGCTGCATATAAAATCCTCAACCTTTATGTTAATAATCTGATTCACCCGCTTGATCTCATGAACTAGATAATATAGTCAACCTTTTACTTGCTTATGGATGTCCCATCCTTGTTTACAATTGTATCGATTGTATCAGTCCCTTCATTTCTGCCGAAAGCTAGATTGGTTCCTCTTTGCTTGTTATTTTGAGATTCAATAATAGTTTGTATATGCTTGGCTCAACTTTTGCAACTACATTGCAATCCTATCCTTTTTCCATTAGCATTTTTGGATTTCTACGATGAGAAACCTTGAAGAACAAGGAATTCAAGCATAAAAATAATTTATGTGCAAGAAAAAAACCTTTAAAATTAGAGTTTGATTACTCTATAAATTTCTCATGTATCCTTAAATCTTGACGAGAAGAGGATGTGAGAAAATACTATCCATCTTAATAAGGATAGGATGTGAGAAAATATATCCGAATACTTTCAAGATTTCTCTCTAGTAAATCTAAGAGAATAAAAAAAATTATGTGGGATTTATGTAAGAGAGTGTTCAAAAAGATTTTTATTGCATTCGCTATTGTTTCAATCTATGTTTTTGTTATTGATCCTCGGGGATATTCTATATTTTCTCCTCATATTTAGAATGTCTCGTAGAGTTATATTTGATTAGTTTATTGGTCAACCTGATAGGCTTGTGATGGGTGTCATCAATCCCTTGTTTGGTGGGGAACCTGTGGTCAAAACATCTAAGAAACTTTATGCCCGTGAAATGGCAGAATTAACCGGTGATGACATCTTCAAAGCTGATGCAACAGCAGACTTGGTAGAAAGCAAAGCTAAATGAGATCACTGGTAGTGATATCTTTGTCTCTAGTTTGACTCAACGGTGGCTTCATGACCTTTCTTAGTGTTGAAAGTTTCTTACCATGACTGCTCCAGGTAACTTTTATGTGCCTGCTGCAATTTACCTTTGAATTATCTCTCTCATTGTGACTATCTAGCTTGACAAATGATTGCAATAATCCTTTTGTTTTATGCAATGATTTTGATTGGTGTTCCTAATATGATGGTTATAAGCAGGATTTTGTATTGCATGTGTTCAAGGTGAAAGGATGGCAGGCTGAATTGTAGAATGGCAGGCTGAATTAATCGACTGAAATAATTTAAAGACAAGCTTTTAATTAGTTGGAATAGCAAAGCAGCACATGAAAACATTTCATATGGGTCTTAAAATTAGTATATAGTGTCACCATGGACAAGAACGAAAAAGACTGCAAGGTTTAATTAAATTGAGCAACAATTATTAATCCACTTCAATTTCTTTTGTTTAGCACATCATATATAATATACGTCATGCAGTAAAATAATTAGCAATGTATAGTTAGTCTAATAAAATTAATAACCTACAATCTAGTTGCTATATAGTAACATGTACAAGCAAAGATTGGCATCAAATGTATGACAATAAATCAGAAATTTTGGTCCAAACTATTGTTTATTTTTTAAGCATAATTAAGAAATAAAAGAATTATTTCTTTTTTTACATAAAGAAACAATAAATTAAGTATAATTAATACATGATAAATACAAAGTAGCAAACAAGCATGATAACTAAAGGAGATTAATTCATGATTCACCATTAAGAAGTTGCACACCCACACTTGATTGGTCCATGCAGTTCGGTTCGAGTTAAGCCCATAGGTAAAATTTAAATTTAAAATGTTAAAATATCAAATTAAATTAACAAGGAAAAAAAAAGATGCTAACAGAAATATCTCAACTAATACCCGATATTTTGGCATTTCAGCTATGAGAATCTCCGGAAAATATCTCGGGCATATCCGACGATCTTTTCCCCATAAGAGCGAGTCTGAATATAACCATCCACCCGCCATATACTCCTCATAAGTAGGAGTAGAAAGCTAGCGGTGATCTCACCTCATCTACAAGAAACAAAAACATCTTTCTTCTCCTCTTAAGTCCCCCACAAAAAATCAAAAACAGACAACAAAAAACAAAAAAACAAAAGCAAGCTTATACAGCACACAGTGTATCCGTGTACGCAAATGGTGTACATCATATAACCGCACCCCTGCCCGCTCGACGCAATGCCATCTATCTTAACCCTCCCCATATCTATATATAAAGCCCATATAAAACCCCCTCTGCTGTGCGCTCTCCAAATCCTAATGCAATCCCTCATCCCCAATCACAGCCCAAATCGTCTCTTCCGATCCACCTTCGATCGCTGGAGTCACCCTTTTGCCCTTTGCAACCCTTTTTGTTGATCGATTTTGGTGGATTTGCGAGCTCAGGAGATGCTGGAGGAGGAGGAGAGGAAAGAAGGCATGAGGATGGGGAAGCAGGAAGACAGGGAGATTGAGATGTTGTTGAACGAGATCCCCCGTGCGACGTCTCCCCACCTTTATCATCATCGCCTCTTCGCTTGCGGAGGCGACGGCGACATGCACGCTCGCCATGGCATGTGCCTTGGGATTCGTGATGTCGATGGGTACGGGTGTTGGTGCGGGAGTGGGCATGGCCATGGCCATGGCCATGGCGGCGGCCATGCATGCCTTCTCCCGCCGCCGCACCCTCCTTCGGAGGGGTCGTCGTCGTCCTCGTCGGGGTCCGGCTTACTCTCAGGCAGGCTCTCCCCGACCGTCGATGAACAGACGCAGCAGCGGTTGCCCTCTGCCGCGAAGGATCGGATGCTAGTAGAACTTGGCTTGCTCGACAAGCTTAACGATATTCATCTGGGGACCGATCCGAGAGCACCAAATGGTCTTCCGCCGATGCCGGCATCGATGGAAGAGAACATCCCGACCTTCCCGTCTCTGTTCCAGACTAAGTATCGAGATGATTATAGCGCGTATGGTCACTCCCTTAATCCAAACCCTCTGTTGTTTGATGTAGATAAGAACCGATACCTATCTCAATTGCAGCAGCATTGCCCCGTAGAGGCAAACTTAGTCGAGCCATGGCTCGAGAGCTTCCCTTATGGATCAACAGGGCTGGGTGCTGATGGAGCCCTTGGAAGAGATTCTCACTATAGGGGGAGTTTTGCTGGGGGCTTGGCTTCCTCTATGAATCGATCTTATCCCATTTCTGATATTTTCATGCAATCGGGAAAGATAAGAATGGATTGCAATTGGGATGGGAACGCATTGGCTGCCTCAAGATTGCCTCACAATTTTCTGGTATCAAATGGACGACCTCAATCTGTGAGAATCCAGAGAAACATTGAGGCTGTTGGATCTGAGGGAAGTTTGGTTATACAGGACAAGTTGCCCCATCACATGAGGAACCAATGGAATCATCTCCTTAGGGAAAATAAAGTATCAAAGTTTGATGAAGAGTTGAATGCACAAAGGATCCCTGTGAAGCTTCCAACATTTCCACTGAAGTATGATAACTTGATGGGCTTCAAAGGACGTACCTATTATATTGCAAAGGACCAGCATGGGTGTCGGTCCTTGCAACGGAAGCTTGATGAAGGGAAGCATCAGGTTGATATGATTTTTGATGGGGTTATCGAGCATGTTGTAGAGCTCATGATGGATCCCTTTGGTAATTATCTCATGCAGAAGCTATTGGAAGTATGCAGTGAAGAACAACTGATGCAGATACTCTTCGTGTTGAAGGAAGATCCAACTAACCTTGTCAGGATCTCCCTAAACATTCATGGGTAAGTGGTGGCTTAAATTTTGAAGGCCTTTTATTTCATTTTAAAACTTAAGCAAACCCTTTGGTTCCTGTAATAAGTGGTTCTTCTAAGACTTAAATGTTTGAGGTCCTTTGTCGGATAACATTATTTGGATACATTTCTCAGGACAAGATCTGTGCAGAAGTTAATAGAGACACTCAAAACGAGGCAGCAAATTGCACTGGTTATATCAGCCATGCAACATGGGATTCTAGATCTGATCAAGGACTTAAATGGCAGTCATGTGCTTCAACGTTGCTTAGAATCTTTTAAACCTGAAGATAACAAGGTACTGGTTTCTTAGTTAAGCAAAATAGTTACTGATGATTCACTCCAGTAATTTTCAGATCGGAATGATGTTAAACTAATTAGTTAACCTTTAAACTTGACATTATAATTTGTTTATTCCAACTCTGAGAATTTGTTTACTTGTAGTAGCAGATGAAGTTAACCTTTCAACTTCATCTGCTACTACAGGTAAACAAGTCTTGTTATTGAATGTGAGCTGACATTACCTTCAAGTGGAGCAACCAGAGAGCTCTGTTAATTGATATCATGCACCATTGTTGAATTCTATCTTCTGCTTTTAGACAATGCCACCATCTTATGTTCAATGTGCAGCGAGTTAACAGACGAATTAACATCTTTCTTTTCAGATACCTGTTCGTTCTTTATAGTCCCAATTATAACTGTCCAAATTTATGCAATTAGATACTACTGCCTTTTTGCATTGATATGTTTGAAAATTTGGCCTATGACCTTTGTCAAGCTTGCGTCAATAAAATTCTTGCCACTGAACTTCTACTGGCAATTATCTGAGCATCATGGCAAGAAGAACCAAAAAGTAGTTTCATGTGCCTCCTGGCATGTATTTATTATTTATGCTTCAGATACATCAATTTACTAGTTTCATGTAGTTTCGTGTTGAGTATTATACGGTTTGTATGTGTACATTTTTCAAGTTTAAATACTTAGAAAAGGCAAGTTTTGATTATTTAGATATGATTATTGCAAGTCAAGATATGTAGGATATCATTGCACTACTGAGGCAGCACTATAGACTTTTCTACTGATGGAAATTTGATTGTTACTATTTATTGAAACTGTTCATTAATTTCTTTGTCATATAGTAGTTACCGGCATGTTAGGTAGTAATTTGGAGTAACATCAAGCAGATGTTACTTTGATCGTTGTTTAAGTTCTGAGATCAACATATACCACAAAAATGGACTTAATAACTTTAAGATATAAGTAATATCGAGTTGCTTCATAAACTAAATATAACAAAGAACATGATGTAATGATGAAAATAACAGAATGGCAAACAAATAATCAGTCTTGGTTTATCAATTTTGCTTGTTTCTGTTGTAAAACGTACGTATTTGGATTGTACTTTGATCACTCTCTGGGAATATGACATTATTATTTATCCACGTCAATCTAAAAGACCTATAGTGGTATAGACAATCAAATGTAATATCCCCAGTGAGTGGTCTCAAAAGTGACTTATCTACGTAGCAATTATGTGTTGGAGAAGGGAAAGTACTGAAGCCAGTAGTGGGATACTTGCAACTATTTTTTCATGTTTAAACAGAATAACTCATGTAATTATGCTGACCAACTATACTGTCCTATGGATCTAAGAACTAATAATAGCCAGATGTGGAAAGCTTGAGAAAAACTGCTTGTTACTGTAGCAAGCATTATTCTTTATAGAAGTGATTGACATCAATATATTCTGTTTATGCATGATATACATTAAGCGTGTATAACTGGTTAGCTTGTCATTATTGAATCTAGATATGAGTCATTTTAAATTTCTTGTTACTTGGAGTGGGATCTTTTGATGAATTATCATTATTTAGTGATTTTAGGATAGTTATAGGATCCTATTTTATAAAGTCATTTTGAATTTCATGTTCCTTTGGAGTGGGAATCTATTAATGTATTTGTATCATTGTCTTTAGTGGTTTTTAGGTAGGATCCTATTTTATGTTGTGTTAGTGCTATGAAGTCTTACTCTCTATATGTTGGCTTCAAGTTATTGGTTTTGAGTTTTAGTTTCCAAAAAGGCTTTTTGTAATGAATTTTGTGAAATCATGATTTCCTTTTATGAAATATTAGTTTTGCCCTGTATGATAGCTTATCTTAGTTCGGATTTGGATAGTTGGCTCTAGATTATTTATTCTTAAAGGGACATACAATCAATGGATAATTGTATTACAATAACAATAAAGCCGTAAAGTCCCAACTATTTAGGTTTGGCTAGATTGATCTTTCAGTTGATAATCATATCATTTGGTAAATAAAGTTGAAATTGCAGTTGGCTGATGACCATGGTACATGCCCACTTTGATTTAATCTCTGTTATTTTCTATTTGTCATTTGCTATCTCTGCAATTAGCAGAAGCAACAAACTCTGTTTCATATGCTCCCAGATTATCTGCCTTTGCCATTGTGTTATCATTTATTACCTTGTTCTTTTGTGATTTATTAACTTTGAATGGTTTATTATATGACAGTTCATCTTTGACGCTGCTGCAAAGCATTGTGTTGATATTGCAACTCATCGACATGGATGTTGTGTGTTGCAAAAATGTATAGCATCTTCTATTGGAGAAGATAAAGCAAAGTTGGTTTCAGAAATATCGGCTAATGGCTATGAACTTGCTCGTGATCCTTTCGGGTAAATATTCTTGTTTCAAAACTATGGTTTCTATTTTTATTTGAATCATATAAAATCCATGGCAAACTGATGTTTCAAATGTTAGTTGGATTAGTATGTATTGAACAGTACTTTGTGGGCCTGATAAAGTGCTAATATTGGAACATGTAGCACAGAACTCGTCAGTATTTGTTTATAGTTATCTTTTTCCCAATCGATACCTGTGGTATAGATTGATATGCTGTAGAGCATACTGGTAATGTACCCATGTCAATACCGATATCAAACCAAGATTTTAAGTCCTGTATTAAACTATATTAGCATCTAAGTTTTGTAGAAATTTATATATCTTCTTAATTGATTGTTTCTTTCCCCATAAGAACAAAGTACTGGAAAGAATCCAGTTCAGTATTTATTTTGGTCTCTATTTGATACTTTAATTTCCATGGTTACATGATATTTTCTAGGTTATAGATCAGTTGTATGAGGTGTCTATTAGCAGCATGCAGTTTATTACTTGTTTGTTAAAAGTCCAAAAGACTATTAAATGCTATTTATAATGTGTATTCTTAGATTGATTAATATGGTTTTTGGCAAGCACTAGTTTTTGAGAATTGAGGTCTATAAATTTATCATTTGGTAAATTTACACTGGAACATTGTCATTGATTTCTGAACTTGATCTGTATCATAGAAATTTGTACTTTTGTATAGCCTAAACAATAAGCTGGACAGGCTGAGGGGTAGGTGGAGTTGTTCCTGGGTTTCAAGATCTTTTATGATGTCACATTATTCTTCAACACTAATTTCAGGAAACAATTTTTCTCAATCCACAATTGCTTTTAGATTGTTGTTTTGTTTTGTCTTCACTTTTTTTGTTTGTTCAGTCTTACTTTGCAATGCAACCCTAAACGTATGAGAATATCTCTATTCTGTCGCAGAAATTATGTCGTCCAGTATATTGTCGACCTGAATAACCCTTTAGCAAGTGCAAAGTTGGTATCACAATTTGAAGGGAAGTATGTACAGCTCTCTGTTCAGAAATTTAGCAGTAACGTGGTGGAGAAATGCTTGAGGGTTTTTGGTGAAGATGCTCGAGCCACTATAATAACTGAATTGCTTTCGGTCTCTCATTTTGAGCAATTACTGCAGGACCCTTATGCGAACTATGTCATCCGATCTGCACTTGAAAATTCCAAGGTTTTATGTCTAACCAATTCAATAGTAGTTGTGGCCCTTCAGTTCCTAATCGTCTCTTACCGATGCAGGGTTCTCTCTATGCTGCACTAGAAGAAGCCATCCTTCCTCATGAAGTGATGCTGAGAACCAACCCTTACAGCAAGCGAATCTTTTCACGATTACGACTGAAAAAGTGATGTAGATTTGGGACTCTTTAGAAACTGTTGTTGTCTTGAGTAGTATCACTTTTCATGGAGCTGCCTTTGTAGGAGTGGAGTTTCTTATTTATCAAGTTGCATGAGTTGTAAAAATAAGCAGTTTTACTTCCAAATGCTTCTCGCTGTAATATTCTGCCATGATTTTGTTCAAGATTGAATCACCCTTTGCTGCTGGTGATTGTATAGTTTAGAGACATGCTTTTGACCTTCCGTTAATGAGATTAATAGGAGATTTTTCGTTTTTTTAAATGATCATCATTACTTTATATATATATATATATATATATATATATATATATATAT